GACGCCCTTGGTTTCACTGATTTGACAATTGGAGCAGGAGAGGTAAACTTGTTTATTTGTAAAACCAACGTATATCATTGTGGAATATTCCTATATATTGCTGAAATAATCTTTGGACGTGGTCATAGTTAAGTAATTTTGGGATTGACGCTTATAATAGTTGCCAGTCTAATTTTTAAGGATATAGACAATCTACACAATGGAAGTTCCTCAAATATATATACATATAGATAGATAGATGGATAGATAGATATAGATATTTTCATTTCGAAATGGTTAAGGATTGGTGGAGAGTAGAATTGAGAGCAGCTATCTGTGGTAAGGCAGGGCTACCAAGTTGTTCAAGGCACTTATTGACTCATAGGTATGATGGTCCACCTCTTACATAGCAGTTGACACCTATATGTTGTGGTGAAAAGCAGGAGTTTCCTGTTGAGACTGCTGTGTCACATAATTCACGTATTTTAGATAGAGCTTAAGATTTTAGGAATATGGTGATGAATACTTGGTCCTTTCTGAGAAAGTGGTGGATGGTCCACGGAGTAGATGTCCATGTTGTGATGCTGCTGCTGCTGCTTGTTTGATTGAGATTGAATATAGTTAACAGCTAAATATTGATTTATGATAAAGTTTCACTGTATTCAAAAGCCACTTGATGATATATTGCATGGCTTTGCAGTCAATTTTTTCCCTTTTCTATGAATGTGTTTATCTGATGCATTAAAACTTTCAGGTTGATCTGGGGACTCTTCAGGACACTGTTCCGACAGATAAGATTGTGGTATTGCAAGGAGGTTGGGGAGTGTTCAGAAACAGATCTGCTGGAGAAATATTACTTCGATTGACATATAAAGCTTATGTTGAGGATGAAGAAGATGACACAACTGAGGCAGGATCCATTGATACTGATGCTTCAGATGATGAATTGTCTGATTCTGATGAACCAAATGGGTCATTTGAGCAGGGTGTAAAGCAATATACAGATGAAGCAGACAAAGAGTCATTTATGGATGTTCTAGCGGCTCTGATTGTGAGTGAGGAGTTTCAAGGCATTGTCTCGTCTGAACCAGGGAGCAAATTTGTTGATGATATCTCAAGAACAGGGCCTTTGAAATCAAGATTAAGTGGTGTTAATGCTGAATCTGTGCCATCAGATTCTGATAAAGGTTCTGAAGTGTCTGGAGGTGTGACATTTAAATATCTGTATCTAAGAGTTAGTTTCAATTGTGTATATGTGTTGTTGTCTTGATTCTGTTCAATGTTTTGTCTTCTGCAGGAACAACCTTATTCTGGTTTGCTGTGATTACTAGTATATTTGTGCTAATTGCAATCAATATGGATAGCTCAAATTTATTCAACCCTTGATATCACGTGATGGGCTAACTAAGTGTTAGTGCTTCTACTTGATCAAGTAATTCTCTAAAGCCTCTTTGTTCTCAATTCTCTCTTGATTATGATAATTGTTGCCTGCAGTTATCATTTCACTGTTTCAGGTAACAGGTTTTTGACATGACTAGCTTGTATAGTGCCATTGGGCATGTCTACAGATTGCATTTGTTTTGCTTTCTCAAGTTCTCTAAACTTCAACTACATTCAAGCTTGATTAGCTTGTTCAGAAGTAAGAGATTATTACACCTGTCTTTTAATCCAATAAGAAAAAACTGATGAGAATTAAAACAGGGGCTTTTGAAGGAAGGATTCTTGCTAGGCTTTTCTTATATTATACAAATCCAATGAGAAAGAGAGAAATGTCTCACTTTGCTAGGTGATTTAGACTCCATGTAATTTATACTGTGTAGAAGAAAAAAGTGAGAAACAGAAAGAAATAGGAGGGAAAAACTAGATTACCTATTCTACGGTAGCCCCTTGAATATATGGTAATGAATATGATATTTTTCAAAGGACGAGATTTCCCCATTTAAGAAGATTAATGTGTAAATTTGCAATAATTAGCAAAATCTGGGTTATTGTTGGTTAAATTCATGATGCCAAGATTGAGACAAACCCCCATTTTGGCAGTGCTTATTTCAATTAGGAGGTACTAAGAAATCATTACAATGTTTCATTTGAATCGTATTTTTGGTATAGCTCAGCCTGCATTTCGGCTGCAACTTGATTTTGAGGTTTATTTGTTTGATCTCATTCTTAGATTTCGTTTCAGTTATTACCGGCTGCTAAGTCGTTATGTTCTCTATCGGCAGGTTTGCAGGCAACCGTTTTGCAAATCTAATCTTGGCTTCTGAAGGAGATTTTCATTCTAGTACTACACCTCATACCATTATGTATATTCATGATGTTAGCAGGTGAGTGTTCCATTGGCGGCAGGAAAATTTTTTTTGGCTTTTTATTTTTATCCAAGCCATTATAATTGTGATTTACTTTGTATATCTGTTAATTGTTCATATACCTCCCATAATATATATATATATATATATATATCTTAATTTTGGTAGATTGAAGTTTGTTGACTATGGTAGGTTTTGGTATGAACATTAGACTACAATCCTGACTAAATTCCATGAAAAATCAAGGAGTCTTTTCAAAAATACCTCTCATATATAAGGTGTTTTTGAGATAATCATCTTTGTAATTTTAACTGTTTTTAATCAAAAAATAATAATTTTGGACAAAATTATCTTTAATGAAATCGAATCATATGCTTAAGTCCGTGTCTTAAATTGATTTATATACTTTGAACTTTACTCGTCAGACCATTTATCTCTGGACTATTTTTTGGCAAAAGGAAAAACTTTTAGATATTTTGAATATTTTGAAGTAATTTTTGATACATAAAGAGAAATTTTTAAGCAATTTAAGCATTTTTAAGTATTTTGAAGTAATTTTTTATATATGGAGAAAAACCTAAGTATTTTTCAACAAGTATGCATATTTGTTGATTATATTGTTAAATGAAATATGGTGTATTGTTTGAAATTGTTAATTTTGTCAAATAGAATTCAGTAATTTTGGTGGTTTTTAAGTATTGCATAATCGGTTTTTGAGTATTGCGTGATTAGTTTTTAAACATTGTCTTACTAATTTTTAGATATTACATGGCTAATTTTTAGGTATTGCATAATAGTTGATAGGACATTGTGTGACTGGTTAACAAAGCATTGTCTAAAACCAGTCATACAATACATAAAAATCAGAAATAATAATTAAATCACGTAATGCTTAAAAATTAATCTCGTAATAATTAAAAATTAGTAACTAATGTCTAAAAATTAGTAATACAATACTTAATAATTAATTAATTTACTTGTCATTGTTAGGTTTAAGTTATCAAAATTATATGGTGTTTTAATTTACAGATATATTTAATCAATTTTAACTCTTTCAAATTTAGAATTCGATGAATAAACCAATAAATCCAATAACTTAAAACACATGTCATCTCTGATTTTTAAAATGACAAGATAGATAATATTTGATAAGAGAAAGGAATCAAGATTTAATTTTAAAATTTTTGTTTAAAAGATAAAATAGAAAAAATTGAAATTATTTTAATTTGTTTGAAATTATTTAAAAATATTGTTATCAAATTATGCTAAAAATTCATTAAAAATAATTAAGATTATAATGAAAGATATTTTTGACCTGCTAAATCAGGCAATAGCTTTCCATCCACCTTCCTCTCCATGCCTTCTTCAACTATACTCCTCTTTTCCTTTTTCAGTTTCTTCAAAGTTGACTTGGTTCTCAAGTGAATCACCATTAAAGGATCATCAAAGAGGAGACGTACGAAGGCTTGGGTGAACAAACAGGAATCAACAGAGTGAGGGAATTGAGTTTTGGTCAGCGAGTGAGGAGGATGCCAAATTCAGAGGAGGGAGGTTTCAGGGAAAAGGAACTTATTTTTTACATCACAGTATCCAATAAAAACAATATTATTTTGTATATTTCTTTTTAAGACTTTAATCTAAACATAATTAATGGGTATTTAAATTTTCATTTTGAAGTTGCATTTAAATCCGTTTTTCTTAAATAAATGAAAGAAAAATCTATATTGACGTTAAAGAAAGTTATATTAAAATTACTATATTTGGTTATTACAAATTGTGATAACGAGTTTATTAGGGCCAATCTAGGAATGTAAGCGGTGTCCAGATTATTATTCTATATTGATTATAATATTTTAAAACTCTTTTTTAAACTTAATTAATGAGTATTTAAGTATTTATTGAAGTTGTATTTGAACATTTAATTTAATAATAAATATATATTTATTTATTTAAAAAATTGTATTTAATTCTGTTTTTTCTTCAATAAAAGAAAGAAAACAAATATGGATGTTACAGAAAGTTCATATATCTCATGATATTTAGTTATATTACAAATTATGATAATGAATTCTCAAACAAAAAACATGGAAAAAAATGTTTTTTGGTTATTAAAAAGGATGATATCAAGTTCAAAAATCAAGAACACAAAAAAAAAATTGATATTACAAATTATGATAACGAATTCTCCAATTAAGAACATGAAAAAAAAAATAAGATTTAATTATTACAAAAATCATGGTAACGAGTTATCGAATAAGAACACCAAAAGAGATAGGTAAAACTTGGCCATGCTTGATGTATGCTACCAGTTAGTTTCAAGTCATCTGAGTAAAGAAGTAACATGAAATAAACAGTGGACAGAGGAAAGCAGGTCTATACCATGGTGTTGATCTTCTATTTATACCTTGTAAAAGGAGGCTAATGGTTACGCAGATTTTGTAGCCATGGCAGGGATAAGAAGAGAAAGGGTTGTTGGTGACGTGTATCTGAATTGGGAAAGGACCAAAGCGCAGGGTGAAGACCGAGGCAAAAGCTAGCTGCAACCAGGTGCTGTCTCAGGTTTAAAACAATGATGAGGTGACATGGTTGGGTTGAGTCATGTACGTGTTAGGGGTGGGGTTATGAGGTTATGGTAGCTTGAGTGTAAAGCTGATTGTGGTTTATAATACAGGGCGAAAGGATGGACGTGCAGTGTGTTGATCAACCATAGGGTGGTGTAAGGCGTATGACTGTGTTTGCAAAGGAGAGTTTCTACTGCTCCCACATGGCTTATAAAAACCAAAGAACAGGGGAAGATAGGTATTGGCATTTCTATGGCTTATACAAACAAACATATACTCGTATACAAGTCGCTCTACTCACTCTCAGGCTACCAAAATAAAAAAAAAATGAAAAAAAACTCTCTATAGCTAATATACTATTTTTCTGGATTTAACCCATCAAAGTGAAGATGAAGATGAGGCAGTAGCTCCATGGTTAGGCCACAAGAAAGCCATCCGAGATGGCCTTTGCTTGCTGCATTTTCGAGACTGATGAGAGACAGCGGTTGTTGTTCCCGCCCCTATTGGTTTGATTTGCGAGGTGGTCAATAGGTTCCACATCACCTGCACATCTTTGTATCCACACATGTTTACATCGTCTTGAAGCTTTGATAAGCCACTTGCATTACTGCTAATCGCGCCACCTTTGCCACCTCCAAATCCTATTAAAGTCCAATGATCACAAAGCTGTCAATTAGATTCAAAAGCAAAGAAAAAGGGTGGATGACCATAAACTGACCTGCAGCAGTAGGTTTATGGGGTTTGAACCTTGCAGAGACAGAGCGCCAAACCCTCCTCATCTTACACCATAAATGCATAGCTGAAACGGATTCCAGGGAGGGTGGACACGAGAGTTACGGTCAGCCCGAAAGGCAGAAGGAATCAAAAGGCTGAGTTTGGATGATAAAAACTGGTTATATATGAAAGTGGAAACAATAAAGATGGATGAAGAGATTAGCAAAGCGAAGAAGGAAGCGCACGCGGCAAAGAAGGACACCGAAATCCATAACACGTCTCTTGATGGCCGAGCCAAACGTCTCATTTTCGTTTGCTCTCCTCCTCAGGTTTTTTTTTTTTTGTTTTTAAGGATCAGTTACTCTGTTTTGGCTGCTTCTCCATTTACATTAATCCTCTTCTCGCAAGTGACGATTGATTCATGCTCTGAATCAATTCTTCTACTCTTTGTTTCATCGGTAAAACTAAAAAAGGGTGTAAACCCTTGGTAATAGACATTGCAGATTTTTTATTAATATTATAAAATTATAAAAAAAATACTAAACAAAATACCAAATTGAGATAGACGATTTCTACTTATATTTGTATTATAAGGGTCAAGGGTAAAACCCGTGGCCAGTGATCTAGGTAAGGAGGTCCGATAAGAATCTATCTTTCAAAAATTTTAAAATTTTATAATATATTTTTATTTTTTAAAAAATTTTATCTTTATTTTAACGTGAAATTCAAATTCCATCACAACCCACGACTTTGTGAAATGCAAAAATTCTCTCCTAAGATGTATGCATAGTTTTTTCTATTATTTGAACCTTAAATGTATAGCTTTTTATTACATAAGATTTGTTCTGTTAATTTTTTTTTTACTTTTTTATTTTCGAATGCAACATTTGTTATAGATGACCAATGTTTTTAATTTTTTTTCAAATAAGAAGAAGGGAAATTTAAATTCAATTTTTTGAATAAATTATAAATACAAAACATTTCACTCTTTAAATATGTAAAATATATTAAAGCAAATGTTTAAATAGAAATAAATCAGTATTATATATACATATATATATATATATATAAATAGGTCGGCTCGGTACGGATTAGGGAGGAGTTTATTCAACTAGCCTAAGCAGGGGGCTGTATCCTGCGTGGTTTGGTACTCCCCTCGAGGGGAGTAGGGGCAGTGGCCCAGTTCGGTACGGGCTCAAATCATTAATCCACCATATGGGGTTTCGTCATCCCTATTCTTTTTAGACGAAAAAAGTCGGAAGAGAAAGCCCACATGCATAAACAACTTAATTTCTGCTTTCCAAAATGGAATCATTTTGTTTAATAGTTCATCTCCTTTCTGCTCAGCAATACCAGCAGTTTGGTGCAATTTTGGCTGTTTTGGTTAGATGAAATAAATAAAAAGATAAATTCCTTTTTTTTGTAATTTTTTTATATGACTTAATTTGATTTTTCTTTTTTTTTAAAAAAAATCTGTAACCATGTATATACCGTAAAACTTTTATAAATTAATAATTTTGATTAAATAATATTTTTAATTAATCTCGATTTGAGATTAACATGGTAAATTTATAATTCATTAACGTATAAGTCTTATTTGATATATAAATTAATAATCTATTTATACATTAAAATTATATATATAATTTTATTAACAAACATTTATAAAATATGACTCTAATATTATTTGTTTCTTTTTAAAATTAATGTCTCTTTAAACCTCATCTCTAACTTGTCTTAGTACATTAACTTTTCATCCTTCATTGTTGATCACTTTACACCATTATGAGAAGAAGTCATTGTATTTAGTTTTACTATTTTTGATTCTATATATAAATTTTATAGATGTTTTTGTTTGATTTAATGTTTATGAAGTATATTAATTAAGTATACATCAAATGTAATTTTAGATTATTGCAAAATGGATAGATTCATGATTTCTATTTAATAAAACTAATTCCATTTATGAATTTGTTTTGGTTAAATAAATACATAGATTAATAATAATTTGTAATTCAATAATTAAGTGATATTCGTATAATCATGGTATACAATACACGTGTCAAATTCAATATTTTGAAAAAAATAAAAATATCTTGATAAATTAATTTTTTATTAATTAATGTATAAATGATTAATTTATCTATTAAATAATATATAAATTAATTAATAAATTTCCATGATCCCAATGATATTAATTTGTAACAATTTTACTCTATATTTTTAATAATATAATATAAATAATTTATGTTTGTATAAAAAATTAAATTATTAATTTTATTTAATAAAATTATAAAATAATAATAATTTTTATGAAAGATGCAAGTGAAATTTATCAAAAAAAACAAATCCATCATTTAGATGAATGCTCTCGATTGAATTAATTCAATGACTATGAAGTAATAGTATTTTTTCCTCATCTGCATTAAGATCTTAAAAAAAATCTTAGAAGGATGAGTAAAATTTATAAAATGATAAAAATCTATTAATGTTGAATTATTTAAATCCTTAAATAATAATTAATTAAAATCGTACTCAAACCTAATTTTTAAAATTAAATTCAAATCGTTGATCTTATTACGCTAAGTCTGACCTTAGGTGTCAAGGGAAAGTATCATGGTTTAGAGTGGATCATGAATCTTACATTGGCTGTGTATCAGATTGATACTAAGTATTAAAGTTTTACATCACTTTCAATTCATGAGGTGATTTTTGTGAAATAAAATCATGAAATCAATAGTCCAAAATAGGGATGTCAACAGGGAGAGTTCTCGTTAATTTTAATATATCCAAACCCGATTAATAAATGGAGTACTCAAATCTTATAATTACTCGAATTTTTTTAAATTTGTTACAACCCTAATACATATCCATTACCCGATAATTATCCGAATCTATTTAAAAACTTAATTTGTTAAAAAAATATTAAAGTGCTATTCATGGGTATCTAATTACTCAAATCCGAATCTGTATCCTATTTATATAAAATAATATTTTTATCTATATTTATATAATTCATTAGTAATTAAATTTATAAAAATACACAACTAATAAAATTTAAATTTAAATAATAAAAAATAAAATATCTCAAATATCAATTTAAATAACTAAAAAGAAATATTCAAACAACAATTTAAACATTATATGTTTAATTAACTATATGGGTATGTCCATGAAATTAAAAAAAAATAATTAGGTTCTAAAAGTATTCTAATTTCATAATTTTTTTAAGTATATATTTTATAAGTTTATATGCATAAAGTATATATTATAATTAATAATTTTATAAGTTATAATTTTTGTAACATTAATATAAAATAGAAAGTAAATATATTTATATTTAAAGTATATATATTAAAAATATATATAATAGTAATTATATTTCTTACAAATTAACAAAATATATAAAGTATATATATTAAAAAATATTACAAGTTAGTTAATAATCACGATCTTATTAATTAATTTAATTAATAATATAAATTTATCTTTAATTACATAAAATTATAAAAAATATAATTAAATTTGAATATGGAGTATCTAATACGTGATATTTGAACTTGATATAAATAGTAAAATTATTATCTAAATTTAATTATAAAATACCCTAACAAGATATCCATTATCCTTCTTAATTCAAAATGAATAATACTTGACAAAAATTGACATGAACGGAGACACCTAACTTGATTAGCCAGGAAATTATGCTGAAATCTGGACCTCTTGCCACGGTCTAGCAAACGGCTCACCCCTGTAACATTTGCCCAAAAAGGAACTGGGGAAAAAGGGGAAGGCCCACATTCATAAATTATTTCTGCTTTTACTGTCTATGATTCGATCTTATCTGTTTAGCAGCAGCAGCAGCAGGAGATTCGGTTTGGCTTAACTTTTAATTTCTTTGGTGGCATAGTTTCGCCTTTTTCAACCATGAAATTATGCCAGCAGCCGAGTTTTGAAACAGGAAAAAGCTGATCCATCAGTAAAAAAAAACACAATTTGATCATTTATTATACTAATCCATCACTAAAAAATCGACAACCATCAACATATAACAATCATTTGCATCTAATCTTAAAATACTAAAAAAAATATCAAAATGAAACAAAAATAAAAATTCTCAATTATCCAGACACACAAACTAATAGTTTAATAATTTATGTTGTAAGAAAATTCATGACAATATTTTTATATTTGATATATTATTAGTATATATCATTTGTCCCGTATCATTAATAAAAAAAGGTGTCATATATGTATAAAAATAAATTTAAAAATATTTCAAAATAAATATTTATTAATTTTTAAATTTATATTATTACAATAACAATGTATGGCCCACTGATATTATATAGATAAATATAAAATGAAAATGATCATTTTGGCATGAAAAATGTTGCGGCGGTGGGGGGAAGTGGGGGATGCCGATAATTAAGCGGAAAACGTCACGCCACCAGTCAACGTCAACCACGGCCCAAAAAAGATTATCTGCTGGTAGCTACTCCTCACTTCGTCCCCCACATTTATTTCAATTCTCAAAATTAAAAATAAAATAATATATAAAATATAAAAAGCATTTCAATTTTTGAAAATAAAACGCACACCTTTTCAGCTATTGGTCCCACATGTTTTTCCCTGTATCAACATAGCAAGTATACATTAATTTTTAATCAAAAGAAACTCACCTTTTTTTTTTCAATAATTTTAAATTTGTAAATATTATATTTTTACTTGCATCTCAATTAATTTTGTTCAGTAGATATCATCCAACTGCTCCGGTTGCCCCCGTCGTAAATCCGTCGCTGATAGCTTCCTTGAACAACTGAGTTTGCCCAACCAACAAACAAAAAATAAATAAATACTTCCACTTCCCTTCACCTTAATCATGGTTAGCCACATTCTAATGTTTAATTTATAATTTAAAAGCATCAAAAATTTAAATATAAATAAATGATAATTGATAATTTTTTAAAAATTTCCATGAGTTTAAAATTATAACTTATAGAAGAAAGTATGATAGCATATTACATAGTGTAATAACATAAAAGTTAATTAATTTTAAAATATTTATGGTGATTAATTTATAACCATAATTAAAATTCTTATTATAAGAT